ATGTAAGAACAGGTTTCCGAAGTCTTGATAAAAGGCGACTTTCAAGACAGATTCAGGCAGAGACAGAAGCCCATCACCCCAATGGCAACTATGGGGGGTGATAAAGGTTTTGTAGTCTTGTGTAGACACAATATAAGACAATGACAGCTCTACGTATTCACAGACCCGAGGCCACACACTGACAATCATCAGCTGTGCTTGGCTAAGCCTCAAAACAGGAGGCTTACAGAGTGGATGCTCATCTGATAAGGCTTGGTCAGGGATAAAAGTAACCGTGCAAGATGAGGAGCGTGTGCACAAGCCAGAGATCTAAACTAGCTCAAGAAAACCACTGTGGCTCAGGCTTTTAGCTGGAAGAAGACTTCCTGCTCCTCCTTCTCCTCCCTTCATCTTTTATTGAAAGCAGTGATGGTAAAGTCTGGTTCAAATTCAGCAGTAAATGCTCCATAAATCAAAGAGAGATTAGATTCTTGACCAAACACAGGCCTTTTCTTCAAGAAGCAAACAGGGCTTATATTTTGGTGGTGTGGTTGTGCCAGGATTGGTACATTAATGTGATTAGTGGTGTTCTATCTGTTGTGGGGTGAGGTGGAGCCATGGAGGCTGGCTAGGGGCCGGCTCAGTGGGGGTCAGGGAGGGAGTGCGTCACATGGCCTGAGGTGGGCTTATGGCTCTGGTTATGGTCTGACACAGCCGCAGTCATACCGCCAGGTGGGTAAAGTCGGTAGAGCAAGCAAAAACTCTGTCTGGAAACACAGTGGTTTCAGACACTGGTGAAGCAGACTACAGATTACAGAAGCCTTTCTTGTACTGACAGTCAAATGACTGAGTAAATACAGAGACACTAAAAGACCAGTGGAACTAATCTTCTACTAAAACAAAAACTGACATCCATCAAGACAAAGTTTGCTTTGCCAATTTTTGCTGCAATTCGAGTCAAAAAGGCAAAGAAATGCAAAATTCGGATAAGATGGCAAAGACAGTTAGATGAGTTACCTTTAGCCCAGCACACCGCGCTGCTTCACTGCTTCCTCTCCATTTTCAGACAATAAAAAAAAGTCTTCCGGGCATAGCTTCAGTCATGAAAACCAAACAACTCAAAACAATTAAAGTTAATGTTTTTAACTTGTCCTTTGATGTCAGCATTGGAATACACACAGTAACCAGTTTGTTAGGTACACCTAGCTAGCTCTCGTACAACAGTTAAATCCTCCTTCATGAAGGTGATAATGTAACTGTATGCAGAGGATGTAGTTTGTGGTGATGTTTACTGCATGACTCTTACATTAGACTGTATTAGTTTTTGCTAGATGGACCAAAAACTGCCAAATGAGTGTATTTCCACTGCTAACATTACTGGGCAGACGGACACCAGCAGGAAGACTGATCTTGTGGAGGGAGACAACGTGGAGAATGTGTAAAATGTGGCCTTCTGATGACTTGTTTGGGAGGACAATCCAGCCTCCCATCTGCTTGCCGTCTCTAAGCACGACTGTGTGAGTGAGAGAGAAAGGAGGAGACAGCGAGAGGCACAGGCCGAGAAATATACTGTCTATGCATCTCACACACACCTCCTTTGGTCAGTGACAGGCTAAAAGCCAGAGAGAAGAGGCCGTGTTTAGACAGCAAGACATCTTCAATCACCAGTTCAACAGCACAAGAGTCCACTTTTAAACAGCATGTCGATGGAGAATTCCTGAAACCAGGACGAGAAAGCTGTGTGTGAACATCCAGTCATGACACCAACAGGCAGCTCAGTGACTAGGTTGCTGGCTACATGTAGACTGATAGTGGAGCGTCACCCTCTTATGCCAACAGGTGATTTGCTTTTGTTCTCCCTGAATAAAACTGAAAGGAGAGTCAGGGAGTTTTTCCTGTAAGAGTGAAAAGCACAGGAGACAGTTTCCTAATACTTACAATGGGTGAGGAGGACACATGGTTGGTTTCTGTTTTTCTGGTTCATGCATCAGTGAATGTGTGTGTGTCTGCCTGCTGCTGAAGGGTAGCAGCCTCCCAAAGGGGCAGGTAGAGACGAGCAAACCCTGTCACTGAGTCAGATTTGTAGGAGCGTGGTGATGTACAAAGTTCGCTGAGCACCAATACAGAGGTTATCTGACATCTCAGTGGCAGAGGTGGTAAAGTAAATGATGCTCTAACTCAGACTTGTCCTTTCTCTTTCCAAAAAAAGCAAAAAGCTCATATTACACCTGACAGTAATTGTAACTGCAGGCATGCATTGATGTTATTGGCAGCTTAGGTGTCTGCTACTATTCACATACACTGTTCCAGTGCCATAATAACTCAACAATTCAAGCTGGAAGAGAAGCATGTATATAAATACTGGCCATATGGTCAGCGCTACTGCTTTATTCAAGGCGTGTTCTTCACTATATTACTGCCAGCAAATAGGCATGGACTTAAGTCATTTCACCCCTGGAAAAAAATGTTCCTCAGCAAGACTATAGCAACTCTCTCCTTCTCTACACACCAAAGTCATTTTTTGCTGTCTTTTCACATTAATAAAAAGAGCAGATAGGGTTGCTGTGCCAAATCTTCCACACAGAAGATCATGGTAAGTAAGCACAAAAACAAAAAACTGTACCTGATCTGTCCTCTGACAAGTGGACGGTTCTTGGTACGGTTCATGTTGGAGTCGAAGGGCACCTCAAAGTACTGTGGAGCCAGAAGAAATGGGTTAATGCAGGAGACACAGGAACACACCACCAGTGCCACATAGATGTAAATCCAGACAGAGTCAGACAAAAAACACAGGTGGAAATACTCTTTCCACACACATGCTATATCATGTAATATCTCCACATTCTGCAGGCAATAGTGAAAGAAAACTTTTCATACTGCAATTTAGAGTTGTATTTAGACATCACTTTATATGCACTTTAGGTGAAATTTCTATGGTTCGTGCACACCTCCTACACTGTAGCACATACAGTATTGTTCAAAATAATAGCAGTACAATGTGACTAACCAGAATAATCCAGGTTTTTAGTATATTTTTTATTGCTACATGGCAAACAAGTTACCAGTAGGTGCAGTAGATTCTCAGAAAGCAAACAAGACCCAGCATTCATGATATGCACGCTCTTAAGGCTGTGAAATTGGGCAATTAGTTGAAAGGGGTGTGTTCAAAAAAATAGCAGTGTCTGCCGTTGACTGTACAAACACAAAACTATGTTGTACAAACGTTTTTGTTTCTAGGATTTAGCAATCCTGTGAATCACTAAACTAATATTTAGTTGTATGACCACAGTTTGTTATAACTGCTTCACATCTGTGTGGCATGGAGTCAACCAACTTGTGGCACCTTTCAGCTGTTATTACACTCCATGATTCTTTAACAACATTCCACAATTCATTTACATTTCTTGGTTTTGCTTCAGAAACAGCATTTTTGATATCACCCCACAAGTTCTCGATTGGATTAAGGTCCGGGGATTGGGCTGGCCACTCCATAACATTAATTTTGTTGGTTTGGAACCAAGACTTTGCTCGTTTACTAGTGTGTTTGGGGTCATTGTCTTGTTGAAACAACCATTTCAAGGGCATGTCCTCTTCAGCATAAGGCAACATGACCTCTTCAAGTATTTTGACATATGCAAACTGATCCATGATCCCTGGTATGCGATAAATAGGCCCAACACCATAGTAGGAGAAACATGCCCATATCATGATGCTTGCACCACCATGCTTCACTGTCTTCACTGTGTACTGTGGCTTGAATTCAGAGTTTGGGGGTCGTCTCACAAACTGTCTGTGGCCCTTGGACCCAAAAAGAACAATTTTACTCTCATCAGTCCACAAAATGTTCCTCCATTTCTCTTTAGGCCAGTTGATGTGTTCTTTGGCAAATTGTAACCTCTTCTGCACGTGCCTTTTTTTTAACAGAGGGACTTTGCGGGGGATTCTTGAAAATAGATTAGCTTCACACAGACGTCTTCTAACTGTCACAGTACTTACAGGTAACTCCAGACTGTCTTTGATCATCCTGGAGCTGATCATTGGCTGGGCCTTTGCCATTCTGGTTATTCTTCGATCCATTTTGATGGTTGTCTTCCGTTTTCTTCCACGTCTCTCTGGTTTTGCTCTCCATTTTAAGGCATTGGAGATCATTTTAGCTGAACAGCCTATAATTTTTTGCACCTCTTTATAGGTTTTCCCCTCTCCAATCAACTTTTTAATCAAAGTACGCTGTTCTTCTGAACAATGTCTTGAACGACCCATTTTCCTCAGGCTTTCAAATGCATGTTCAACAAGTGCTGGCTTCATCCTTAAATAGGGGCCACCTGATTCACACCTGTTATTTCACAAAATTGATGACCTCACTGATTGAATGCCACACTGCTATTTTTTGAACACACCCCTTTCAACTAATTGCCCAATTGCACAGCCTTAAGAGCGTGCATATCATGAATGCTGGGTCTTGTTTGCTTTCTGAGAATCTACTGCACCTACTGGTAACTTGTTTGCCATGTAGCAATAAAAAATATACTAAAAACCTGGATTATTCTGGTTAGTCACATTGTACTGCTATTATTTTGAACAATACTGTAATCGTACAACAGTAGATTAGAGAACGCTGTTTTCATCAAGGTTTAGATACAAGGGTCGGTTGGCAGAGAGTGGTTTATGTTGCAATAATAGTGCAAACAAACCTACAGTAGGTGTGTGTTGTAAGAATCAACCATAATGATGCCTGCCTGCTCACACTCTGGTTTGGCCCTGTTAACTTTCATAGAAATATATGCTACCAGTCAAGAGTTTGGACACACTTTCACATTCAAACTTTTGACTGAGAGTGTAAACCAATTTTGTAAATTTATAATGACAAAAGCAACACTAAATACAGGGTGCATGCATGGTGACTTCCACCACTGCTGCCAACGTGAGTCTTTCTATGAAACATCTGGACAGAAATAATGTGAGGGAAGCCGCAGCAAATCTCTGAACTAAATGCTCACTCCTGAGAGTAAATGGCTTGGAGGTGGAAGGTGGATGCAAAGAGCTGGAAGGTGGTCGTGGTGCGGGTGTTCTGGGATACGACTGTGAAAACTACTTATACTCCTGTTTTATGATCTGATCTGGAGGAGTATGCTTCAAAGTGCTCTCACGAGACTGGCAATGTGTGACTAAAATGCAAACACATGGGGTGCTTAAATGCAGGAACTGACAAATGTGTTGTGTGTGTGTGTGTGTGTGTGTGTGTGTGTGTGTGTGTGTGTGTGTGTGTATTTGCCTGCCCGCAGAAGAGCCTTTAACAAATGAGGAAAACAGATAAAACACTTAGGATCTCAGAATAGCCAAATCTTCTGATAAATGGGTCACACAAAATATCTAAATAAACAGAATCAGCGTTTCTCTTCTTAAATCCCAGTTCCCAGATTTACTGCACTCATGACATCAGACGGCCACTATATTATTTTAAAAACTAAACCCTGGTGGAAAGCACTGCATTTCATATTGTATACAGTTTTATTCTGAAGACCATTAGGAAGAAAGAGTGCTGCACTTTTAAGGACTGATACAGAAGATATCTCACATTACTTAGCTGTGACTTTGAGTTAAGACCCAAATAGAAAGCACCAACAAAAATATCAAACATGGCTGATAACATTCTGACCTACTTAGTTGAGGCTGCATCAGGTTTGGAGTGTGGGAGGCAGACTAAACCTCAACAATACAAGAAAGTGCCAGTGTTTACATGACATCTTACTGTGGTTTCCATGAGCCATTAGTGAACTAGAAAATGGCTAAAAGGGGTCATAGTGACATTTTACAGCTGCCCTTTAGTCAAGGTGTGGTTGCGCTATTCTCCATTACCGTAATTTCCGGACTATTGAGCGCACCTGAATATAAGCCGCACCCACTAAATTTAAAACGAAAAAACAGTTTGTACATAGCCGCAGGTGTCCACGTCGTAACATGAGATATTTCGACAGCCAGATTGATCGCCTTTAATTTGAAAGCTGCATCATATGCATTTCGTCATGTGTTTTCCATGATGAGGATGTGTGCATGAAGCGAAAAAAGGAGCAGCATATAGTCCGGAAATTACAGTATTAATATTTAGCACAAGTAATAAAAGAAATGGATCCTTTGATGGACAATCCTACCACATGTAGAAAAGTAAGTAAATATATCTCCTTACTTCACTGTAGGTATTGCTGAAATAGCAGCAGTAAAAGCCCTTAACCAACCAAATTAAATTTAGTAGTGGTTCAAAATCCAGTGCTTCCCTTTTCCATCTTAGCTTCAGCTGTCATGAGGTACTAGCTAGCTGGGTCAGACTGGACAGGGACAGGCTAATGCACAGCTGTGAACGTGGCTGTGGGACCCAAAGGCCCAGGCTGAGGTGTTACGTCTATTTCCTGGGTCAGCAAATGTGTCAGGAGGTCAAAGGCTGCAGAGGAGAAAAATGCACTTTGTGTGAGCAGAGCAGTGGTGAAAACTGCCTCAGGCATGCCCAGGGCCAAGCTGGCTGCAACACTGCTCTCATAAAAAGGTTAGTTTCCAATAATATTATCCCGTGTGTAAGAAAAAAAATCCGGCACTTTAAGGCACCTGCACAGCAAATAAGTGAAGCACCAGAGAGGCTTTGCAGTGACCAAGTTTCTTAAAACACAAGATCTACAGTGTTGCCGTTGTTTGGCTGAAGCTGTCGACTGTGTATATGAATGATGTGATGTGACTGTCAAAGTCACTCAGTCCACCTTGCTATGTGTGCTGTGTTGTCATTTCATAGTTTGTCCAGTTCAGCTCTCATTTCTCCCTCTCTGCCTTTTAAGCCAGTGGATTCATCTGGCTCACATCAGTGGCCCACTCAGGCCATGTAGTTTTTTCCGTCCAACGCTGCCATGTGTTACAGTGATGGCATTAAAGTAATTGGGCCATTTGTTTTTTTGTGAGCATGCACATGCGCTGCCACAGGTAGGTATAACGGGTTGCAATGGTTTTAAATAGATGAATTTTTACAAGGTATTTGGAGGTATGCACACGTGCACACTAGCAAAAATGATGGCCTCCTTATAGTGAAAAGAGCTCCTTCGTTGCATCTGACTTAACATGGAAAAGGCAAAGAAAGAAAACTAAGTGCAACCGCTTCACAAAAATTCCAACGAGTACACACATACGGTGCACACAACGAGAATCCATTTCACTATCTGACATATGCGCAGTCGGTGTGTTCACAGTGCTGACACCTAATCTGTGTGGACCATCGCAGATGACAAAATTTATGTCATGCAGAAACGCGGACAGCACGATGGGCATTAACACAGCCAATCACAGGCCTATGATAATTTATTAAAGCAATTTAAATGTCTGAAAGTGACCAAATCTACAGTCTGTAAAAAAAAAACAGCCTACATTGCAGCTGTGCTTTGCTTTTTGTCTACAGGTTGGCGATTCACTCACAGTTCTCTACCTGACAATGCTGAGCTGCGTAGTATGATGGGAAATTTTTGATAGGTGGTGTCCCTTCAGCAAACAAACAACACTTTGAAAACCAATAAGGCTTCAGATAACAAATACAGTTCAATCAAAAACGGCCTGAACCAATACCAACACAAAAGCCATGGCTCAGCTCAAGACATCTGTAGAGATGTAGCTGGGGGACTGAACCGGAAGTTAAGGAGTAGGCTGTTTTCAATTATGGGCAC